GTCCTGTTGGCACTCGTTTTGGTCCTGTTGGCACTCATTTTGATCATGTTGATTATTCTTATTCTGCTGGTGGGTATCTTTTCCTTTAACCATGTTATTATGACACATCAATTGCTACATTTCTACAGCACTATAACACAAAAATATTTATTTATTGTGTATTTTTTTATTTTATAGGCGCTGATTTTGATGATAATACGTTTTCTGCTGGTGGGTATCTTTTTTCCTTTAACCAGGTTATGATGACATCAATCGTTACATTACAGCACTACAGCACAAAAAAATACAGAAGTTGACTCACCAGAAGAACTTTGCTTTGGCTTCATGTCCATTTTTGCTTTTAATTTTGTTTATCAAATAAATGTAATGAACAAGAAATTCATTAACTTGTACAGAAAATTGCCCTGTTTTTAAAAGTATTTTTTGACAACATAGTAATTCAACTCTTTATTTTTAAGATCGAGCACAGTTGGCATCCCCAGGTAAGCATTTTTCACAAAGATCACTTCAACTTTTAATACTATTGCATGTTGACAAACTGAAAATGTTTAACAGACATTTGAGGCAATGTCCTCTTCTATTAATACACAATTCTTTAAACAATATACGCCCCGGGATATCAAATCTTCGTTTGATCAGAATATCGAAACACATTTATAATTCTTTTTTACAGCATCCCAAGTCATRTCTAAAGAGTTTGCAATAATGAAAACTTTCGCTACATTACGTAAAGTATAACACAAAAAAATTATCAAAAAGTTACAACATATTATAAATGTAGCATGAAGTGACCCCTCTTCTCCTCTTAACCATGAGCCAGACTGACAATGAGAGTACCTTCAGGCTATAATTCATACTTGCTGTCACACATACTATCAAATTTTCTCACACATACTATCAAACTCGCTCACATGTACTATCACATGTATGTATGTATGTATGCATGTATGCATGTATTATGTATGTATGTATGTATGTCAGGGTTCGACAAGATTTCTTTTCCTTTATGTCATGTCTGCCCGACATGAAAAGTTACCTGCCCGAAACAAAAATGTTCAAAATTTGATAAAATATAAGAAAAGCATGTACTGTATTTGTACTACAAAACTATTAACATGGTTATACAGAGGTACATAATATATGATATCTGATTTAGCAAATGCAGACTGAGTCACTAACAGTCAGTCGATTGTATTATCAAAAACGTCTTCAAAAACCATTTTTAGACCTTTCCAGTGTTTCCCCTAGAGTACTGGCTTTGGGAGGGCTGCTTATAAAAACAGAATGATCAACAGCAGCAGYTTTGTTTTAAATACAATTTACAGAACATKAAAGTCTGCAATTTGCMTTAATTGAATCTTATACAGTATAGTCGATACATTTAAGATATCTTGAACTGGAGTCTCCATACAACTTAATGATAAATCTGATGTTATTTATACTAGTCAGAATATAATTAGAGATATCTTAAATAGGTATTTTGTCTTGTCAAAATATATTAAGAGATGCCTATTTATTTGTTTATTTCTTTCATTTATAAAAACAAAATAATCTATGTACACCATTTAAAAAAGTAAATCCTACCCTGAATTAAAAGGGTGCAGAGTGAAGAAAAACTCATCATATGTGCTTCTTATTTTTCAAAAATCAACTTCAACAAGCAAACAAGCTCAAGCTGGAAAGATCTCCAAGTTTAAAAAGTAAGTAAATAAAACAAAACAAAATAATAAAAGAAAACATTTTAATATTTTATCCTAAATAACTAATATGTCTAATCTAGTCATAAAACAATTTCAGATATCTGGAATGTAAGCGTGGTGAAGCCAAATAAATGCAACATCGGCCTGCCATACAGTGAGCCTGTTGAACTGCTCTCAGAGCACAAGCCGACAGCAAGATGGATTAATGACTGAATGAAAGTCCACATATTTTTATCATCTCTGTGGGTAACAATACATAAAAAACAAATTTTTTTCTCCGAAAACACGGGTGTGAAAAAACTACGATTGTTAAAGCTTCGCTCTGCGTGAGGAAATGATCCCGCGACACGACAGCAAGACGTAACTTTTCTGCAGGGGAGGGGAAATTTTTGAGGATTTATTCTCTCTATACGTGTTTTAAAATGCTAGAATTTCTTCATTATATTTCGAACTTCTCCTGCTCAGTTGTCTCTGAACTCGCAGCCTTGTTGACACAGGTGCGATGACGTAATGAC